CAGTTAGTGTGCAGGTAACTGACCTGCTGTCGAGGACAGTTAAGATGTCACACACAGTCTATACAGGCAGCTGTTACGCAGGCAGGTAGACATGAGGCAGGGGATCAGCAAAGCAGCGGAATGCACAGCATTATACTGTGTATGAGTCGCAAAGGCCAGCTGTCCCGGACCCCGAGAAGACTCTAAAAAAGAACCAGTAACTTTGAGGCTGGGGGGGAGGGGGACAGAGCTACATTAAAAAGCAGGTTCTAACAACAATGCAGGTAGGGACCATAGCTACAGGATTAGGCATGTTTGCTACTACTGTATGTACTCATAGTGTGCTGCCCCACATCCTGCACCCTGCACTGCCACATGCAAGCAAATCAGAGGTGTTTTTCACTCGGGGGTGGCCGTGACGACCGCATGGGGACAGACTACAGGTTGATCCAGGGAGACCAAATGATGCCACATGTGAGCAGTTTCTCAATGCTGTCGGGGGAAGTAGTTAACTCGATGGTGGGGAGATTGGGCAGGCTGTTTCACGCACACCCTGGGCTCACTGCAACCGGCAGGGGGTCCCCGAGAGCAGTAGCAGTACTTTATTGATCCCTAAGTAAAGTACTACTGCTACTTTCTGGGACCCCCCCCAGCGGTTGCAGTGAGCCCGAGGTGTGAGTGAAGCAGCCTGCCCAATCTCCCCACCACAAGACCATAGCTAACATCATCAATGCCATGCAAAGACAGTGGTCTGCAGAGAGTGGTCTGCACTACAGTTATAGAGTCATAAAGACCTGTCTTTGTTTTGGGGACATCGGAGACCGTCATTCCTCACAATGAATAAGACCAGCCTTTGTTTGCTTAAAGCTACATTTGATCCAAACAGGATTACTTAGTGTCAGATGAACTGGACTTTCCATAAATAGAAAGACTCGTGGTCCGTGAATATCAAGTATAGTCGATGGGCCACAAGCGTAAATAATCGCGGAAAGTCGTAACCTGAGACCATGCCGGCCCGCGGAGCGCGGCACAGCCGTGTGCAGAATCGCACATCACGCCCGTCCTTGGCAGCGTGTTCTGCAGCACGGGGAATAAAAAAAGATGGGGCCCAGCAAACACAGCGCCCATGAAATATAATTCGCGGGGCTGGGAGGGCGAGGGGGGCAATCCGAACCCGGCGCTCGCTGTGATTTACGCAGAAAGATCGGGTCGAATCTCATCAGAGGGCTTCCCCACTTCAAAGGGCCAGGCTGTGAAGGTACGCTCTGCACCATGAACGGCATGCATAATGGCATGCATACAGACCCAGTGCCAGCTACAGCCTGGGAAAAAAAAGAATGAAAAAAAAACGCTTGGAATTTCATTCACTTGATGACATCACAATTGCACTCTGGAACATGCCCTTAATTCTGAAATAATTCAATTCACTTGGAACTTTCCGGAGTGCAAAGGTCAAAGCGTCACCTGCCAGAAAAACAAACAATGAGAAATAAAGGTATGTAAGAAAAATGGTCAGTTAAAATATTTACATGCAATACTGTCCGACCTTCTAGTACATCTGCCAGGCCTGCAGATTGCACTGCATTCAAGCAGAGGGGCTTAGTGCAACTTTATTCAAAGACACTGCAACATCGAACCAACAGGGCGACATTGAGATAATCCAAGCAAGTGCACATATTTGATGGAGCACCTCCGCAGAATCGGGGCTAACGGCTGTCAGGATCGCCTCCGACTCTCAGCGGCCCTCGCGGCTGTGTTTGCAGCCTGGACTCTGCCCGTCTCTTCCGTGCCAATGGGGACCGGGGTCGGCACGATGACCACATTTGATTTGGAGAGGTGCAAAAAAGCAGCGCTGTCACTTTAAGCCATTAATGTTGCGTATAAACCCTCTCCAATAAAAATGACAGCTGTGGACATTCACAAAGGGGCCAAACTCTACCCCGGCAACAAAAACGCCACGCTGTAAACCAGACCCCACCCCCAGCTTTAGCTTTGTTCTTGATTTACTTCCAACTCCAGGCCCCCTAAATCCACCCCCTCCTCCATTTTTTTCTCCTACAATGTCAGTCTCAGGCGCTCATTAAAGACCGTGAACCTCAAGCAATTGGGGGAGGAGGGGTTTGCTCCATACACTTGAACCCCCCCCCCCCCCACACACACACACACACTCATCACCAAGTTTTGATGAGTTTATCCAGAGAAGCAGAACATGCAAGAAATACACTCAGGCTACCAGCAACAAAACAAACAGCAAAGCAGGTGCCTTTGCCTACTTGCCTGGTACCGGGACCTCGGCACCTGGACCCCTTGTCCAAACGACCCCCCCCCCCCCACCCGAAAGCGAACCATCTCTAACTTTTTGGATCTCTTCCCAGACATGTCCCCACCATGCATGAGACCTTGAGCAAAGTTGCCTTTCAGATTCCTGCACTCATCTCTCAAGGTAGATGTCATACTTACTCAGCCCACGGGCTCAAAATCATAAAACTAATAGCTGAACAATATCAACTGGATTGTAAAAACATTGCCTGTTATTTTGGGGTCTATGTCCTTTTGTCCTCTAGGGCACCATTCTCTCTCGCTGCCCCCCCCCCCCCATGACTAAGGGCGTTACTGACTGTCTCCTATGAACCCACTGCCCCATACGGACCCGCTGAGGGTCCAGCAGACGTTGTGCTCCGCACCACCCAAAATCCATCCAGCGCGGCAGCAGTGCACCGGCGGCATGGTGGCGGCTGCTTCCTGGCACCCTCGCTGCTGTGAGGCGAGGCTGCTAGTTTGACGGGGGCCGCGGTTTCGCACATCCGCCACCTTCTTGTATCCCCTACTCACTTCTTCCTGTTTAGACGCACCCCTCGTGCCAGCCATCAGCTCTGCGGACGCAAAGTTCACCGCACAAGGACCTGCACATTTGGAGTCGGGGGCACGCAAAGGCTGCAGCATTTTGTCCGCAACCCTGCCACTGCAGGCAAGCATGCTCTCACATGCGTATTCCTGCTCGGCTGTGCACAGGACTAACTACAGACACACCTTATCCCTCTATCGTCCGCCAAACCCCAAACCCCGAATTCCACCATGTCCGCCTCGGAAGGGAAGCAATTCAGCTCTGGTCATGAAGAGCTTGCCGACAGATGCTCTCAGGTTTGAAGGGGCACACATTATCTTAAGGGGGGCCATTCGGGCTTGTGTGCATGCGCTCAGGTGTGCATCAAACCACGTGTGAATCATAAGGTCATGATTATACATGGTACATCTCCTGAGTCTCTATAATCAACATATACTGTGAATTTGACATTTTGTATATGAAAACAGGCAAATCAAACACACAGGACCCTAAATTGGATAAACAGAACTTAAAATGCACTGTACATATGGATGGATGAGTGGATGGTTGGATGGAAATAATAGTATTGACATACACATTATATAGCACATATAAATAACAGAATGCAATGCCGAGGGTATAAATCACGTATTTAAAAGTAAATATGAACTACTCTACATTGCGGCCGGTAAACATACATGTGTCTTAAACGTGCCACTAAAGTTAAGTTAAGTGCAAGAAATTTAAATATCAACGCGTTCAGTCTGACTTGCAATCGATAAAAACTGCGATCTCCGTTTCGGCGCAGCTGTCGCCGCTATTGATCAAACGCCTTTAACTTGCACAATATCCCGAGTCCAGCCGCAAAAAATACGTGCAATCTGCACATTTCCATTCACTGATCACTGTTTTAACCCGTAACGAAAAGTCCATCCCCTCCTCCGTAGACCTTGACGAAGCTGCGGACGTGCCGCGCAATCAAAGGCTGCGAAGTGGCATGATCTTCACGCCTCGCACACGGACGATTTCGCATTTTTTTACACCTTCTGCTCCGGGAAGTGACAGCCCTGCAACATCAGCGCTGTTTACAAACAGGGATGCTTCGCTTGGTTTCCCATCTCGGCCGACTTCAGCGATGAACTTCAAAGTGTTCAAGTGCAAGGGACAGCCGGGTCGCCCATGCGACTCACCGGACCGAAAAGACTTCCTGGGGCTGCCGTGAAAGTGAAAACGGGTGCCCTACCTACGGGCAGTTTTTTTTTTTTAAAGAAAAAATAAAAATGTATTTTTAGGCTTCCGAGAAAAGCTATATTTTTGGTGATCATAAGCAGCTACCAGAACCTAGCCCACTTATGCTATGTCCACATCACTGTGTGCCGCGTTATATATAATCTAATTTGGTTACTGGCATCCGAACCATCCGAACCATATAGTCCGCGCCAATGCCAGTCAAATATAATCGTATCAAACAGATGCAGTGTATTTATGTCAACGCCAAAGCAAGCTATAAAAAGGGCTTTCTTACCGCAATTACAGGAAATAATAAGACGCACACATTTAAAGCACCACCGTAAACTGTTATTACCCACGCTGTGGGATGTACGGAAATCATTTTAAAGTTGCATTGGATAACTAGGCTAGAATAACGATACTTTCATATCCGCACCCCACCGCTTTCGGTCAGAAAGCAAACTTTGGATTGTAATCTTGCATTAAATTGAATGTATAATTGTTTAGGAGGAAATGCATGGTAAGAAATACCGAGAAAGTAACCGGTTGTAGTTTTTCAATGAAATGTCACTTGCAACTCAACTGACTGTCATCAAACTCTGATCGCACTGTTACAGAGATGGTGACGTGCCTCTCTTTTTGACAAGCCAAAGTTCATCTTTTTAAATTAATTTATTTTTTCAAATACATCAGGAACCAAAATCAAACTACGCGGAGACCATTAATATTAAACTAGGAATAATTAAAGGCATTCTGCACGATTTTATTCCAGGTTCGTGTTAACGCAATTTTCAAACGCGGCAATAAGTGGCAAACGACAGCGGAATAGGGAAATCGTATGCCGATGAAAAGCATGTAATCTTGTTGACAATTCACTGCAATCCAAACCACCAAATAATTACAAATATAAAACGGTATACAATTAAGACGTAGCACGAAAAAAAGGGAAACCGAAAAATAAACTTACCCAGTGACAAGAAAGGTTTTGTTTCCATATCTTACGGGTTAGCTCATGCCAGCCAACGCGAACGTGTTTTCTGAGTTTTCAAGATTGAAGGCGATGGTGGCTGTTGCTGACGGCACAGGAGGACGATCCTCGAGCAAAAGTGACAGTGTCAAAAAGCCGCGTCCCGTCGTGTCAAAATTCACTGAATGTAAGTAGTACTTTCCGTTCACGGGCTCCTCTTTCCCCCTCTCTCTCTTTCTCACTCCATCTACTTCGCGAACTACTGGACTGCGCTGCAAAGGGGACCCTCCCAGGGGGGACTCCCACTGCCACAAACACCCCCGCAACGACGTGCCTAAATGAAGAATGTGCGAGGGGACTAATTAATCACACTATTAATTTGTTGTCTGGCTTGCTTTGAGTGATTTTGATCATATATATTTCTTAGGTTGTTTTTGTATGCCTGTCAGAAATTGATTGAAGTTCTTTCTGTAGACGGAGCCGTGTAGGATCACGCGTTACTTAGTGTGTTACTGCAGTTTCTATACGTTTTATATATAAATCCTTTCCTCAACTTGTATAACCGGATCACATATTTCCAGACAAGGCCATACTCTTTGTGTGCGTGTGAATGTATATGTTCATATGGGAACACTAAAAACTCGTTAAAATTTTCCGAAAATTACGTCATGCACGATGAAACGCGCTCATCGTGGAGAACGATTCATTACTGTTTTATTGTGCGAGAGCAATACACAGTTCTCCATAAATATAAAAGGGAAATCGGTATATTAAACAGAATAACTGCTAGGCAAGGAACCATTACAGATGTGGCTATCAACAACAGAATTTAACGTAATACTTGTGGAATCCATAAATACTTGTCAATTATTTCCACCTATCTCCTTTCTTACGTGTTTTAAAATGTAAGTTCTAATGTCAAATACAGTGATTTACCGTCTGACAAAGCAAAAGGGAGGGCCCCTCACATACTCAAAAATCCCCTCTGCCTGAACTGGAAGAGGTGCTGCGGACGCAGTGCGGTTGCAAAGTCGTTAATGTAGAAGGTGGAGAACGAGCGTCGACGATCGGCATAATGTCGTGGTTATTCCTTATTTGTGTTAATGTCTAAGTACCAAGAGACAGTCTAGTACACTAATGATAGTGCATGTATTGTGAAACACTCGTGTTGTATATATTTTTCTTTTTCTACTTCGGCTAGCAGGAGTGAGTTGACTTGTTCACGTGTTTAAAGGTAAGCAGGGTCTTCGGGGTACTCAGACGTGCGGCGATCTAGAGGCAATCAATGCAGGAAGATCAATAATTACTGATGTTAAAATCACTGATTATGCCTAATACAAAAAAGTACATCTGCAAATAATAAGTTATGACAATTATATCATTTTTTTAACAGGGTTGTCAAGTTCATCACGATTCACTGACACAGCTCACAAAACACAGATTTAGATGATAGCGACAATCAAATTTACTAGTTAAAGAAACTGTTAATTAAGACAATTATGATAAGTTTCACCATCTCAGATTATAGAAAAAAAACAACATAAGACGCACATTCCACTACAGCCCCGCTCCGAATGACTGATTCACAAAGCTAAGCTTCGCCTCATTGTTTCAGGTGAGGTGGTTTACCCAGAATTCCGGTTTGTCCTGCCGTTCATGAGAGATGGTTTCCGTGCTGGAGCCCAAAAGGATTAAACACTAAGGCACACTGTTTTGCGTGGGGCGATATACAGGACTACGCTGAAGACTGGACTGGTGAATCAATTGCCCACCCCGGTTTTAAATATGTTTATTAAATCTGTAATTTAGCAGTTGTAGATCAGGCCCCCTGGGGGGCTGACATCCCATCCAGAGTGTCTCCTTATCTTGTGGGCCAGAGAAATAAGTGGATGGATGTTTTGGATGGAAACCTGTTGTCGTGCTGTAAACTGAAAGCATCACCAGAGTTTCTTTGCTTGGAATGTTTGATGGGTCTGGTGCCAGGGGGGTTCCCAATCTACAGCCTCGCATTTCCAGCCCCAGGCCACGACCCAGCCGGTTCTCGCCTCCAGGTGAGGTTGATTGTCCGGGTAACGACCTCAATCCCGCCACCGATTAAGCGCAAAAACACTGGCGGTGTATCTCACTGGCCTCAGGGACCGGAATTCCCCTTGCCGGGTCTGATCCAGTTTCACTGAGCTTGGGAGTGAGCATGTCTGCCCCCCCCGCCTGTCCCTTTAACCTCGCCAGACGGGATCATGGCACCCGTTTGTAACATACAAGGCCCGATAAGCTCATAAGGAGATCAAACACAGTGGGCACAACAAAACACAGGAAGAGCTTGGTTTGGGGATGAATCCAGTGAAAGAAGAAGAAAAAACTGATAAACAAAATATTCAATGGCTGATAAGCAGTTAATTAATTATTAATGATTATTATTAGTGTTATTAAGATCCAGAAAATATAAATGTGTTTCTAATTTGCAAAAGTGATAGCCTGGTAGGTGGGGGTGTGGGTGGGGGTGGTTATGTTGGGTAATAAGCCTGACAGCTTGCTCTCCATCAAATTAATTGATTTCCTGAGATCATGAGTCAGTGAAATTTCAGCGTAGAGTTTGTGCTGCCTCCCCATCTCCTGCTGAACCAGGCCGGGATCACAGGAAACGCGATGGATGTAACGTGCAGCGTGTCAGTAAGTGTGGGCATTGCTTAGAGATTTGGGGGGGCAATCTTATCCAGAAAGGGCTGGTGTGTATGTCGATTTTTGCTGCAACTGCCTAATTGGATAACAAATTAGAGAATTGACTGCCTGAAGAGTCCTCACACCTGGATTTGAACAGCTGACCAAAACCCTGCTTACACCCTGCGGATAAAATTGCCCACCCCCGGTTTCCCAATTTGGTCCTTTTTTTGCTCCCTCTTTTTGCTCCTTCCTAGCTCCCACTGGGAGGGAGCAAAAATATAAACTGTCTGGCAGGTAGCTGGGAGGGAGCAAAAACATGGACCAGCTGTGGGGAAACACTGGTTTAGAGCCTTGTTTTGTTTCATATAGTTTTTTTTTTTAATGAATGAATGAATACACAACAGCATGTCTCAGATTCACCTCTCAAAAGGCTGAGTATGAATATTTATACACTGTGTCTGCACTTGGCGAAATGAGGAGAGGGGAAAAAAATCCAACATCCAGAGAATGTGAAAGCTGGAATTTTTTTCTGTGTTTCTGGTGGCTGAAATGTAATATTTTCGCGGCCAATCATAAGCATACGTGAACGGGGTGAATGGGCGGGGTTCACCCAAGTTTGAACCTCATTTAGGGAGGGAGCTTATTCTCGGCCAATCGGGATGCACTGCGGGGCAAGTCATAGGTTAAAACAACAGGCGGGCTGTGATGTGAGCCTCGCCGTCGGTCGAGGGCCTTCTCTTCAGGAAACGTGCACTTTCAGAAACTGTTATTGTTCCATTTGTCTCCGGCAGGGAGAACCCACAAACCAAGGGAACTGTAACAGCAGGGACTGGGGATGTAGAGAGAGAGAGAGAGAGAGAGAGAGGGAGAGGGGCGACCCAGACGAAGGAACTCATCAGACTCTTGGTTAAAAAGTCAAGAGGAGTTGAGGAAAAGCTTTTTTTTCCACGTTCTTGTGCCTCTTTGCAGATGCTTCCTGGGCTCCTGCGCTGTAATCTGAGACAGACACAACATATTCCTTTAAAATGCCTCGCTTGCTGAGTCTCTCCTGTGCCACTAGACCAAGCAATTTAATCCTGCTCTCTGCCTGTGATTAATAGCTCCCTGACCATTCACCTTTTTTGGGATAAATCTCAGACCATGCGATTTTGGATGCAGCATGATCCTCTCTGTTTTTTTTTTTTCTTTCCCCAGACTTTGGGTAGCTATGTATAGCAAGGAGACTTTATTGATTCTTTTAGGTTGTTCTATTTTTAAACCGCAGTCATTTCGTAAGAAGCCCCAACTTTACCAGGGCTATCGGATTGTTCTCCGAAGTTTACTTCTCCTTTTTTTCGTTAAAGATACAGGTGTTTTCGAACAGCTCTGTACTTTTGTCAGAACAACGGAACAAGAATGCTTAGAAAAAAGTTGCTGTCTGAACATGTAACCACCTCGATATTGGAAGTGGGTGATTCATTAAATTAATTACCAAAAAATGAAACTCAATATTCATTTTAGCAACTTTCAGATTTTTCTTCGGTATTGGATTCATATTTATCTGACAAAATTTTTTTGTAAAGATCACTCATGCAATATTTTTAATGACGGTGAGGGTGGGTGATGAATGAGGGGAGAATGTAATTAGGGTGGAGACTTGCATGCTAATTAATAATTTAGAGAACAGGACAAACAAATAAAAATACATTATTTCATGCTTGATCAATACAAAGAATAGCAAGTGAATGTGTATTATTCAATTTTTATGGCCAGACAGGCAGCTCTTCTCAGACAGGAAGGCTGAGGTAAGACTAATTATTTAGGGTAAAGCTGGGGGGGGATAGGTCGAAGTGGGGGGTACCACGACTGGCTGCGCATTTGTACACTTCTGCACAAACTGTGAGGATCTAGGCTCACATTCCACATGCGGAGGCATTAAGATCTAGCGGACGCCACTGGGCCAGGAGTCAACATCTGGAACAGTGGAGTACTCGTTGATGGACACTTCCTCTGAGCTAACCACACCCGATTGGGGCGGCGGGCATGGCCCACTTCAGATTTCCACATGGCAACCGTGGCAAGATGAAGGGCACTGCTGGGCACAGCATTAACACCACTCAAAATAAATGAAGAGTTTATAGCGAGAGGTCTTGATGGGACCTTTAAG